AAATGTATCTCAGCCGATAGGCTGCTTGTTATATTATGTCACTGAAATATTATTTTGGTCAGAATTTATAATATTTGGTATATTTTTGATGCAATTTTACAAGGTAATTGTAGCATTGGGAAAATATACACACAAACATGGACTGCATGGCACTGTAATGGCAGATGATATGAATATATGACGTCGTTTTATTTTAAAGTGAAATCACATAAGCAGTTCACATAATACATCTAAATACAAGAAATTTACATAATAATGTCCATGTATATTTGTTCCTGGTTATTAGATTGTCAGTGAATTCTATTGCCAAACCTTGATTGATTTTGTTAGTAATATTTTATGTCAGATTTTCTTGTGGAAAGAATTTGTATGAGTATATGCTGTTTTGTGGAATTCTGATTTGTGTCTTGACTTTGTGTGTCTTGTCATATGATTGAATTGACTAGGTGTCAATTTTGAGTCTGTCATGTGACTGCAATGTTCAGATGCATGCTACTTCTATATTCATCAAATTAATAACTATATTCTATATAGCGACTGAGTTGATCAGGGGGTCAGACTGCAATTCATTAATTAAGATATGAAACAAATTAGATGTCTGTGATTGCATGTATGTGAAAACGAATTAGATGTCTGTGATTGCATGTATGTGAAAACGAATTAGATGTCTGTGATTGCATGTATGTGAAAACAAATTAGATGTCTGTGATTGCATGTATGTGAAAACGAATTAGATGTCTGTGATTGCATGTATGTGAAAACAAGTACTAAGAACTCTACTAGTCCGTCTACCAATCATCATTTTAAATTTATTTTAATGTTTTTTTTTTTTCACCTAGTAAACCCAAGAGATCTGAAATCTTCAATTGAAAAATCACAGATTGTTGCTCTTAATGGAAATAATCTTGTTAAATGTTTTTTTAGCATTGTGCTACCTACTTTAGGTCCATAAGTAACAAGAAATATCAATCTAAATTCCGAAGAAATCTCTGATTTAAATATTTTCTACATTTGTTTGCAATTTTAAAAATAATTTTGGATCAAATAATTTGACATTGTTTATAAATCTTTATAAGAAGTTTGAATGGCTTTGACTAAAATTTTGGATTTTTTTAAGGAGTTATTTCAGTGATACTGGTTCTATAGGGAAAGGGTTAAAAGTTGACAATGGCAGTACTTTTATACATTAGTGATCATTCAGAGATAATCGAATTGTCCAGCATTTCACACAAACACCTCACAATCCCATAATACTCACTTCACAATATATTGATTATTTCAACATAACTTCATTAAATGTGGCAGATGTATGCTTTTAATGAATGTCTCTTATGAGTTTATATTGCCTTGGTACTTGGTGAGTAATGTCCCTCGGGGGGGGGGTACCAATCTATTTGACATTCTATTACTTCAATGCATACTCAATGTTAAAAGCAATTTGCTGCAGTTAGATTGCCTTCTTCAGAAGTCAGAAATTCTTATGAAACTTCAAGGTTGTATTCAGGCTTTAGGCAAACAGAACCTTACACAAGAAAATAACATTAAATCATTCCCAGCTTAGGAGGATGCATAACATTAAAAGTATAACTCAATGTGACCTCGGTGAAAGTCCCAGGAAATCCTTGTTTTCAGGACCCTAATGAAAGTCACTCCCTAAGACCATAGTTAAAATCCCTAAGTAACTATGACTCCTTAGCATGCCAGTTAAAGTCAGAGTGGATTCCTGTCTTCAGGACCTAAGTCTTGAAAGCTAATTCTACTTGATGCAGTA